TATATATATATATATATATATATAATTTGAACAAAATTTGGAACTTGTAATATCTCTGTTCATAAGGTAAATAAAAAAAAATAAATGCACTTTCATTATACAATTACCTACAAGCTACCGATTGACCATACATAGAATTTGATCGTCAACCATTATTGAGATATAGTAATTGAGGTCTTAGAAAACTCACCGCTCCACGTAAAGATACACTGTACTGTCTCGCGCTAAAACGCTACGCTTTTTTTAGCGTCGAGACACTATCGTGTCTCTGGACTATTATAAATCATGTTACTTGTTACAATGCCTTCGCTCAATATGAACTTTGTTCGGTTTAGGCCAAAAATCGACACCAGATCCAGAAAAATGTAGACTCATACAGCAACAATTGGTGCTACTTTTACATGCGCATAAATGCCAGCGACGCGAGAGTCAAGCGAACGGCGAGATGAGACAGTGCACCTTGCCGGATTGTAAAACCATGAAAAATGTTTTGAATCATATGACGAATTGTCAAGTTGGTAAAACTTGTACGGTGCCTCACTGTAGCATGTCTAGACAAATTATCAGTCATTGGAAACATTGTAACCGAAGTGATTGTCCAGTATGCTTGCCAATAAAACAAGCAAATAAAAATAGGACTAATTCTGCGCAAGGTAATTTGAAAATATTTGTCACTTTGATATTCCGGCGATTCTCCAAAAATTCTTTAAAAAACATAAACACATTTTATTTATATATTTTCTTAAAAAGTAAAACTTTAATAATGCGAAGGAATAAAATGTGTTTACGTTTTTTATATATATAGTTCTGGTTTAGCAGTTATTTCAAACGGTACTTATCTGGAGATATTCTATACATTTACATTATATACGTGTTCTTTTTATCAATAGCGCCCGCAATTCAACCAAATAATCAGCCAAATACAAGTCCATCTGAAATGAGAAGGGCTTATGAAGCTTTAGGGATTCAATGTCCAACAACGACACCGGGAATTTTGCCCGGTCAAGGCGTTGGAAGAGGCGTCAGAATGCCAACTCCCGGCATGGCGGGTCCTCCAGGAGCACTGGGCAATGTTAGATTAGCGCAACCTCAAACACAGGGTGAGTTGCATGACATTTTATATTAACTGTTTATTTTTTTCAACTTAAAACTTTTTTCAACTGTAAAACATTTTATAAAATTTATTGTATTGTATGTATTGTATAAAATTATATTTTGTTATATTATTTTTTTTATATTCTGCTAAAAGTATAAAATATGATTTGTATAGATTTTTACGAGAAAAGCAACAAGCGATGGGCGCCCATGTGTGTTTCAGCTGCACCGGGACAATCTGTAGTCGGTGCTGGACAACAAGTAGTCGCTCCGAATGTATCTCTTCCTTTAAATTCCGATCCTAGCACAGTCGGAGTAGCCGGTAATCAGACGGTACCGACGACTGGACCCACATCCGCCGCAGCAGCGGCTGCTGCCCATATACAGCAATCTGTTAATATGCAAACATTGTTCGGACTGAACGAGTCTGGACAACCTGGTGTGATAGGCGGGGAAAATAGATTAGCAAATCTGCAGCTTCCAGGTGGTCTTCAACCCGGACAAGTCACTGCGACGCCGGTGCAAGGAACAAAGGAATGGCATTTGTCCGTCACTCCTGATCTCAGGAACCATCTCGTTCATAAATTGTTAGTGAAAATTTTATTATATATGACTTTTCGAAACTTATCGAGCTATAACTCAGTATGTTATAGCGTGTGTATCTAACTTTTTTAGGGTTCAAGCGATATTCCCGACTCCCGATCCACAAGCCATGCTCGATAAAAGAATGCACAACTTAGTTGCGTACGCGAGGAAGGTAGAAGGTGACATGTATGAAATGGCTAACTCTCGGTCGGAATATTATCATCTATTGGCCGAGAAAATTTACAAGATTCAAAAGGAACTTGGTAAATAATACAATTTCGACACATTGAAATATTTTTAATGCTGATGTTTAATTTTATTTAAAAACCATTTTAAGTAATAGCCGTCTTAAGATACTAGTACAAGTTTGTGATTAGTTTGATATTATTTGAAGACTATTTTAAATACATGGACGGCCTAACTTACGTAGTCCATGTTCAAGTTTTTTTTTTGTCATTAATATATTATTTTTAATGAGAGTATGTAATTGTGTGCGTGCGTGTGTTATACATATTTCAATTAATCAATTCTTTAAAAAACGAACTTTTCTTTTTAAGTTAACATGTATCTAACTACTAGCTATCCTAAGAGCAATTTGTCGAATAACGTAGATGAAAAACGACAAAAACGAAAGGAACAACAACAGCTGCAAGCGCAACAGCAACAACAGCAACAACAACCAACGCAGCCACCGGGTACATCTGGTCCTGGATTAAGGCCATGTGCGCCTCCAAATGTAGGTACCGTTATGCCAGGGGCATCGAAACCTGTCGGGACAGTACCACCTACCTTACGAAGTCACTCACCGAGTATGGGTCAACTGGCAACGATACCAGCGATGGCTATCCAACAGCACAATAGGATGCAGTTCCCACAGCAACAGCAAGCGCAACAACAACAGCAGGCCCAACAGCAACAGGTGCAAGCTCAGCAGCAAATACAACAGCAGCAGCAGCAACAACAACAAGGCATCCTGGTAGGCCCTCCCGGTCCTAGCCCAAACGGACAATCTACATCCAATGCCAATATGGTGCCTAATCCTGGACTGAGTCCGTTTGGACCTCAAATGTCCCAGGCTAATCTTACGACCACTACTGCATCTAACAACGCGACGACTAGTCAATTCCCGACGTCCAATGGCACGACTGCCGGTTTACCTAACAGTTCTCCTATTCAGAACCAGCATCAATTTCCCGATCTCATGAAAGTCCGGCTGGCGCAAGCCCAGGCTCAAGCGGCGCAACAACAGCAACAACAACAGCAGCAGCAACAGCAAAGTCAGCAACAACCACAACCGACAAGTGCTCCCAGCCAGGTCGGTACTCCAGCAACATCGATTCCGCAAACACCATCACCGTTTAGTGGTATGCAGCAACCAAGTGCACAGCAGCCGCAGCAACAGCCGCAACAACAATCGAATCAACAATTTCCAACTCGGCCATTGTCAGCTACCACGCCTAATGACAATGGTATTGCAACATCGACACCACAGACGATACCACCGCCTGCGTCCAGCGGACCAAGTCCAACGGGTGGCGTACCCGTGACGACTACGGGTACGACTAACGGACCTCAGTCGACCACGTCCACACCAAACACACCACTTGTACCATCATTAATGACGCCAAATCAAACGGTCTCTTCCGCATCGAACCAGACGCCTCCCCATTCCGGCCCAACACCGTCCCCAGCCGGCCTTGCGAGTCTTGGCAAGGGTATGACCTTGCAAGAACGAGCGGCACTAAACACTCCACGTAGTACATCCATGTCTTCGCAAATGGCTGCCATTACAGCAGCGCTTGATCGTGACAATTCACCCAGCCCGCCAATGAATAATAATAAAGGAAAGCTGGATTCCATCAAGGAGGAAATAAAGATGGAGATCAAACAAGAACCTCCGGACGAGCCACAGAATCACAGAATGGATGGTAAAAGTGTGAACAATGAGATTATTATCAAAACCGAGCCGAAGACCGAACCAATGGAGGAGAGCTCGAATGAGGCAATCGTGAAGGAAGAGCCTGGCATTAAAGAGGAGAGCATGACTCCCGTGTCCAGTCAGGATACGACTACCTCTGACATCAAACCTTTAGTGCCGGAACCGATTCAACCAAGTGGCACGTCCACTGACAAGAAGAAGTGCTTGTTCAAGCCTGATGAATTGCGCCAAGCATTGATGCCGACGTTGGAAAAGCTATATCGACAAGATCCTGAGAGCATTCCGTTCCGACAGCCGGTAGATCCTCAGGCATTGGGTATACCGGATTATCCGACTATCGTGAAGAAGCCGATGGATCTATCGACGATCAAGAAAAAACTCGACACGGAGAAGTATAGCGATCCGTGGGAGTACGTCGACGATGTTTGGATGATGTTTGATAATGCTTGGCTGTATAATCGCAAGACTTCTCGAGTTTATAGATATTGCACCAAGGTAATGTTTATCTGACGATATCATCGCTTACATGCTTTATACGTTCGAGTCTAATTTATTTTTCTCCTTTTTTCAAACGCAGCTCTCGGAAGTGTTCGAGCAGGAGATAGACCCCGTGATGCAGGCACTAGGTTATTGTTGCGGCAGAAAGTACACATTCAACCCGCAGGTACTTTGTTGCTATGGCAAGCAGCTTTGTACGATACCTAGGGATGCAAAGTATTATTCGTATCAAAACAGGTCAGTGCACAGTTACATTCAAGTATATATTGAATTATAATGTGTAGAGAACTATTGACGTGAGAGATAATACGTTATTTGAAGATACTAATGCTTAAAATGTTAATATTGTATTAAATATTAATGCTGAATCTATCAAAATATTAATACATAGATGTATTCTAACTTTAAGTCGAAGTTTAGTTAATCCATTATATTACTTTTGTTAATATAAATCGATTGAGCATGTGAAAAATGGCATTTTAAGTATTATGTTACATTAGCAGTTTGAACATTTCTGTAATTAGAGCGTGCACAATGGGGACACGTTTGCAGTATTTTGTAACATCTAGTAGTGACTTTTATGTTTTAAGTAATGTTCTATACGGTTCTACCATGCTTATAGGGCATTTGAAGAACGGTGATCCCCGCGTATTCATTTTCTGTAGACCTTTTTAATATGAAAGTGTCCTATCGCTGAATACGCTAAATGAAATTGACAGGTTAATTAACTTGCTTTTGACAATAAATGTAAAAGCAGGTCAGTCCCCTGAACTACACTTTTTTGAAGCTATATGTACGAATTTTCTTTCGTATTAAACTCACGCACTTAAAGTTTGTGTAATATATAGTTGCGCATATACTTAAAGAATATGTATCGTTTTATACGAGTATAAAATGTAGCGTTAAAGTTCTAAAATTGAAGAAAGTTACAGCGTAAGGAACGTTTATTGATCGCTGGATATAAATGGCTTTACATAGCCTTTTGGTATATGCGATTAGGATTTAGAAAATGACGTATAAATTGATATTTTTTTAACATTGGCACTGTTCTCTTCTTTGTATGTCTTCGCCCATGGGTTACGCACGCATACACAAATCCTTGTTTGCCGCTTACTTCTTGTGTTGCCTGCGACCTTGCTTCTTTTCGACTCTACTGCGAAATACTTGATTCTGGAAAAAACTGTAATCGAAAAAAAACCCAAACGATGCCTTTCCACGGTCTTTCGAAACTGAAATCGGATCCGAAACAATTGGCCATTGCATGCATGTGTAATTACCAAAAAAAATTGATTGTACATATATAAAAAAAAAAACACTTGCCGAAATTGACGGAAACTCAATACGCCGAAACTTGGACACACATTTGGAATAAATTGGCCGTCGTACATCGAATTTACATAATAAAACCGTACACACGGCGCCGATATAATAGTGGTCTTCTAAAGGGAATTGGTCTTCTTTCCGACAGATACACCTTCTGTCAGAAATGTTTCAACGACATTCCTGGTGACACAGTGACGTTGGGAGACGATCCAACGCAGCCTCAAACGTAAGTGACAAAACATTAACGCGTGTAATCTTTGTTAACATTATTTTGATTCGACGGTCTATATGATATCTTTGTTCCTCACAGTGCCATCAAGAAGGAACAATTCCAGGAAATGAAGAATGATCACTTAGAATTAGAGCCTTTTGTAACCTGTACGGACTGTGGTAGGAGAGTACATCAAATTTGTGTGCTCCATATGGAAGCAATCTGGCCATTAGGGTAAATAATTTTATTTTATTTGATCAAAACTATAACCGCGAAAAAAGATTTGACGAATTATATTTTCTCTCTATTAAAATAAAAAATGCGTTCGCGTTGTTTACTATCTTTTCAAGTTTGATAAAGCCATAAAATATCTTGCGTACTTAGAAGTTACTTTCCCTTTGACAGATTTACCTGTGATAATTGCTTAAAGAAGAAGGGACAGAAACGCAAAGAGAATAAATTCAACGCCAAACGATTACCCGTAACGAAACTCGGCACGTATATCGAGACGCGCGTAAATAATTTCTTGAAGAAGAAGGAAGCGGGCGCCGGTGAGGTCGCGATCAGAGTGGTCGCATCCAGCGACAAGGTGGTCGAGGTCAAACCCGGGATGCGAAGTAGATTCGTCGAGAACGGTGACATGCCCGGCGAATTCCCATACCGCGCAAAAGCATTGTTCGCGTTCGAGGAAGTCGACGGTACCGACGTCTGTTTTTTCGGTATGCACGTGCAGGAGTACGGAAGCGAATGTACGCCGCCTAACACCAGACGAGTTTACATCGCGTATCTGGATTCTGTCCACTTCTTCAGGCCTAGACAATTTCGAACGGCTGTGTATCACGAGATTCTTCTTGGATATCTCGATTACGCGAAGCAGCTTGGGTAAGTTTATTCAAGCAAAAAGACAAATTATAATTGAGATAATTTACAGTGTACATAATAGAAACTTAATATTGTATCTAAGATATGAATATAATATGAATTTTACATTAAAAAAATATATAAAGAAGAAAAATGTGAAATTGCAGATACACTATGGCTCACATTTGGGCTTGTCCACCTTCCGAAGGGGACGATTATATCTTCCACTGCCATCCCGCAGAACAAAAAATACCAAAGCCTAAGAGATTGCAGGAGTGGTACAAGAAAATGTTGGACAAGGGAATGGTCGAAAGAATCGTGCTCGACTACAAGGTTAACAGATAAATGCATTTCATGAATTTTTAGATCTAGTCTCTTGTGTTTCCGTTACGTGTCGTGATATCGTATCGGTGTCAAACGAGACTTAAAGAAACGTCTGTAGCAAAGCTAGTGTTCTTGTTACATTTACATAGCAATGAACACAGGATTTGCAGGCGACATTTTTTTTTGCATTTTGACTATTTACGCAAGTATTTCTCTATTTTAAAGAAATATATAAATGAAATATTTGTATGTAGGATATCTTAAAACAAGCTATGGAAGATAGGCTTTCATCCGCGGCGGACCTACCATATTTTGAGGGCGACTTTTGGCCGAATGTGTTGGAAGAAAGTATTAAAGAATTAGATCAAGAAGAGGAAGAGAAACGTAAACAAGCTGAAGCGGCGGAAGCAGCCGCTGCTGCGGCAAACGCGGTAAGTTGTAGAAAATAAATAATGTTTCTACTTGCATGCAATAATCACGTCTTATATATTTATATCCCCCGATCTCGTATTTTTTCAGATATTTTCACTGTCCGAAGACGCGGAAACTCCAGACGGTAAAAAGAAGGGTCAGAAAAAGGCGAAGAAATCTAACAAATCTAAAGCAAATCAAAGAAAAAATAGCAAAAAATCGAATACTCCTCAAACCGGCAATGATCTTTCCGCGAAAATCTTTGCCACTATGGAAAAGCACAAAGAGGTGTTTTTTGTCATTAGGTTGCACAGCGCTCAAAGTGCAGCCAGTTTGGCAGTAAGTGTTTTCCGTGTTGTACATTTCTCTTCCTTTAAAAACATGATGCATGCGATTATTAATTTTTATTTAAATCTTTTTTAGCCTATCCAAGATCCCGATCCTGTTATCAATTGTGATCTAATGGATGGTCGTGACGCGTTTCTCACGATGGCAAGGGAAAGGCATTACGAATTTTCATCGCTTAGAAGAGCAAAGTTCAGTTCCATGTCTATGCTATACGAATTACATAATCAAGGCCAAGACAAGTTTGTTTACACTTGTAATAACTGTAAAAGTCATGTGGAGACTAGATACCATTGTACAGTTTGTGACGTACGTATAAGATTATTTGGAAAAAAGTACTTTTGTTTCTTTTCATAACTTTTATTCTAACTTCAATTTTATGACAGGATTTCGATTTATGTGTGAGTTGTAAAGATAAAGATGGTCACCCGCATCCGATGGAGAAACTTGGTTTTGATTTGGATGATGGCTCTTCGCCGGCTGATGCCAAACAAACGAATCCACAAGTAATTTATCTTCTGAAAATATTTGTGTTTAATAAGCCTGTGTATAATAAGCCTATAATGTGCTCATGTATCTTTTTTATTTCTGCAATGTAGGAGGCCAGGAAATTATCGATACAGAGATGTATTCAGTCATTGGTGCATGCTTGCCAATGTAGAGATGCCAATTGTCGTCTACCGAGTTGTCAGAAGATGAAGCGAGTAGTTATGCATACGAAGAACTGCAAGAGAAAGACAAATGGTGGTTGTCCTATATGTAAACAGTTAATTGCGTTGTGTTGTTATCATGCAAAACACTGCCAAGAGACCAAATGTCTCGTTCCATTCTGCTCCAACATCAAGCATAAAATAAAACAGCAACAATTACAACAACGGTTACAGCAAGCGCAGTTGCTTAGGTCAGTAAAGTTGTATACGACTTTATGTATATATAATATTATTACACTAATGCAAAAATATATTCTATTGCCTTTTATTTCAAGCATTGCTCTATATATTTTTATTAAATAGCGAATCGTAGAATGCTATCTAAACTAAAATGCGTGAATATATTTTGATCCTTTTGCATATCTTTGCATGTCCTTATTTTTTAATTTGCTGTTAAGCTTTATTTCTTGACTCTTAATATGTCTTGCTTTCTAAATAATTAGCGTTATAAATTATTTTACTTTCTATTTACTTTTAAACTTAAATAAAAGCTTATTATCTGCTTAGTTATACTGTATCTATCAAACTTTTATATATCGAAAACATTAATCAATATTCGCGTTTATTCGTATATAGGAGGCGAATGGCTGTGATGAATACGAGGCCCACCGGACCTGTAGCAATGCAGACCGGACAGCAGACCTCAAACGTTGCCATGACGACTGGAGTCGCTATGAAACCTGGTGTTAGCACATCGAATTTGCCAACACCACATCAACCAGGTATCGGATTGAAGCCCGGAACGCAAACTCCTCCTGCTCATGTTCTACAAGTAGTGAAGCAGGTGCAAGAGGAGGCAGCGAGACAACAAGTACCACATGTTAGTTACACCGGTAAGGTAACCCCGGGCGGTGGTGTTGGTGTGGGTGTCGGCGTAGGAGGTCAAACTGGCGGGGTAATGCCGCCACCTCAGATGCAACGGCCGTTGCCAGTTCAGATGCCGAATCCCAGCGGCACTCATCTCATCCCGATGGATCAATGGACAGCGAGGTATCTATTAAATTCCTATTTTTCACATTTTTCATCATTAACTTTGATAAATAATAAATAAATATATATTATAATCGAAAAATCAAAATAGAACACGGTTTTTGCTTGCGTACCTGTGAGATATCGTGTTTTATCTTTTAGTAGGTACCAGTCGAATACAGTGATGCAACAAAATCCCAATTTGGCGCGACAGCAGACACCGCAACAGCTGATGCAACAACAACAGCAACAACAGCATCAGGCTCAACCGGGAATGGGAATGGGTGCGCAAATGGCACGGCAACCGGGCGTGATCGGGCCGGTCGGACAGGTCGGTCCGCAGGCAAGTACTATGCACAAGCACGCTCTACAGCAGCTGATGCAAACTCTCAGGAGTCCGCACACGCCTGACCAGCAGAATCAGATTCTCCAAATATTAAAGAGCAATCCACCGTTAATGGCCGCCTTCATCAAGCAACGAGTGAGTTGATTGACAATTAAAAAAATATCATACATTTGTTGTTACGCGCAGATTTGACTACTGATCTTCTTAATAAAAAGGCGCTTGTCCATCAGCAACAACCTGGTCAGCATGGTGGGGGTGTCGGCGGCCCATTGGGCCCTAATCAACCCCAACAACAACAACCTGGTTTGCAGCATATGATGTCTCAACAGCAGCAGCCGCAGCAGCAGCAACCGCAACAGCAGACGCAACAGCAACAACAACAAGGTAGACTGCAGATACAGATGCTGACGCAGCAGGCGCAACAACAACAGCCAGTGCAAGCGCAGTCGCAATGGTATAAGCAACAGATGCTGGTGATGCAACAGAGGCAACAACAGGTGGCTCAACAGCAGCAGCAGCAGCAGCAGCAGCAGCAACAACAACAACAGCAGCAGCAGCAGCAACAGCAGCAGCAGCCGTTCACTCAACCTCCGGCGCCACCATACGGTCAACAGCGACCTATACGGCCGCTTCTTGGTAATTACATGACCCATCGTAATTACTTAGGAAACAGTGGGGCTGTAGTACGTAGTGTGTTTTCTCGACACCAAAACTTGCCCAACTCCCTAGGTTACGGCGGTTTCAACGAACAGGGCTACGGTCAGCCAGGTCTGAAACCTACTCCGCCGCCCGTGCCCTCGCCGCAAGGCGTCATGGGTCCGCCGGGGATCTCCGTGCAACAACAGTTGATGCAGTCAGTCCGTTCGCCACCGCCCATCCGATCTCCGCAGCCCAACCCCTCGCCGCGACCTGTCCCTTCCCCTCGTAATCAACCGGTACCGTCACCGCGATCGGGTCCGGTGCCATCGCCGCATCATCATCCGCCTCACGGCACGCCGACACATTCGCCGGCTCACGAGCTCGGCGGCGGTCCTAGCGAGATGATGCTTTCGCAGCTGGGTGGCGGTCCAGGTGCGCCCACCGGCCATCCCGCCACTATGCCTCATCATCCCTCGCCGGCGCCGGCGCCCACGAATGGCGGCGCAGACGCCAACGAGGTAACGCCGATGACGCCGCAGGACCAACTCTCCAAGTTCGTCGAGGGGTTGTAGTGACTGTTACGGACGATCACATCGGTCGATGGTTATGTAAGTGTTTCCCTTAACGGAGACGACAACGGCGGCGCTCGGATGGCTGCGACCGTCCGCGTCGCGTGAATTTATAAATAATACGAAACGGAATTATGAAAGCATTAGATAATTAATCTTGAAACTCGCGCGCGCGCCGATAGAGACTGAAAGAGAAAGCCTGACGCGCGTACCATCAAATTTTGTCGAGCGATTGAGCCTGACACGCCTGGGGGCTTGAAACTCCCCTAGGACCGCAGGATAGTTTCCGATTTCGCGATCCTCAATATTGCGAACAAACGTTTCGGTTCGCGCGCGCGTGTATATATCTTCTCTTTCAATTTTCTACATTATGCGATGCGTCGAAAGACAAGAGGGAAAGATAACGCGATGTTGGTGCTTTTTAATTCTTCTCGGCCTGGCTCAAATAGACTCAAAATGGTTTTCGTCCTTGGTCGAGAAAGAAAGAGATATGAAAATCAGTAGTACGAGGAGGAACGAAAGACTAAAGCGAAACTGTCGAAAGATCATTATTTACGTATCCTCTACTCGTATCCTCCAGAGCCCCCTCGACTCTACCACTCTTCCTCGCTGCTACTCGTGCAGGGTGAGTGAAATCGTACAAATATATATATATATATCTCTCTCTCTCTATATATATATATATATATATATATATACATATACATATACATATATGTATGTTGTGTATACTTAACGTTAATTAATAATTAATAGTTCAAATACTATTAGATCATAATTAGTATCGTAAATGTACGCAATTATATATTACTATATTATACCGTATATATTATATATAACGAAAAATTACAGAGTATATGATAAAGAAGACTTGTATGAAAGATAAACGATAATATAGATAGGGAGAATCCATTAGAGTGTTGTATGTAAGGGGACAGAAAGATAATTTAGGTTACATACATACGTTAAGTAATATATTTGTTTAATAAGGAAAAAATTTGTTATTAAGAGGATAATCCCTAAGCGCCACACCGAAGGTTGTACCTTAACAATGAAATTTTATGGATTTATCACATGTGACTCCGTATTTTCCGCATGTCACGAGTCGTCTGTGGAACTTGAAAGAAGCGGCGATATTCTCGGTAAGATGTTTAATCGCGTCTTATCGAGAATATCGCCTATGTGACGAGTTAACGTTGTCGTAACCAAAAAAAAAAACAAAAAAATAGAAATTCACAACAGGCTGCTAGTGCGCGCGAGGGAGGGTTTATATAAAACAATGTTAATTTTGACGACGGATGTGAAGAGGGTAGTTTTCTTTGATTGAGGGTCCACTGCGAGTGTACAGTTCAATCAAAATGTAACTAACAAGAATGCGTATTTGATACCGGGCCCTCACGTGAAAACTCTGTAAATACTAGATTATTATTACAATGATTATTACTTTATCAATTATTGATTAATTATTATTATTATATATATTATAATATATTATTATTATTATTATTATTATTATTATTATTATCATCAACATTAATCTATTACTGAGCAATTCATAGATCTATTGTAATATTTGCAACAAATGAGGGAAAGAAGTTCACGCGCGTTATTACTACACACGGGTTTACAGATTTGGCCCGCGTACAAAAATACACCGAACCACATTACATGACTATTGCCAGTGTTGTATCATAGTAAAGCTCTAAGTGTAAGTTCCTCCTGTCAACCATCCCCCTTGCTCGGCCATCCCAACCCACCTTCCCCGATTTACTTACACCTTTTTCTTCATCACCTATTTAAAATGACTTAGTAATAACGATGGGAATGCGTGAGCATGTTGTGGTTCAAAAGGTCCGTCGCGTCGGATATTTTTGAAGTGCATACTTTGTAATATAGCTATATCGTGTACAATTAAGTCAACTGACAATTGAAATAGAAACGTAATTCGGAAGAAAGGGAAGATTAAAACTAATATTACACATGTACACATATACAAGCGTATACACGTACACCCGGAAGCTTAAAGCGATGTAAAAAAGAGAAGAAAATAGCCGGACGCGAGGGCGATTCGGGGCTCCTAAGCTCACGAGTTGATTATCAAGCGACACCATCGATACTCTTTAACTATCTACACCGAGAAATGTATACATATACACGCCGGCATATGTACACGTCTTCGCTCAAGACGTACGTTCACTCGAAGTACACCGATGCGCTACGAATTCTCGTTTCAACCCTCAGCGGCACGCGCTTTGATCGTGTTCCTCGTTAAGTCACTCTCGCGGGATCAACGTAGCGAAGGGGAAAAGTAAGAAAAAACGGAGGCAAAGAGAAAAGTTAGAAAGAAAGAGAGATAGAGAGAGAGATCGCACGATTGTAAATTCAAGTGTGTAAAAAATAACTACTGTGTGTGTGTGTGCGTGTGTGTGCGTGTGTGCGTGTGTGTGTTTGTGTGTGTGTGTGATTAGCTTTCCGTGTAAAAATAACACTATGTTATACGTTAATTTATTAATGTAGATTAACTTTAATCTTGATTTAACTTACGTTTTAATCTTTTCTAGTTCCAAGAATTGGAAAAAGAAGAATAAGTTAAATCAAGATTAAAGTTAATTCTAAAAAGTCCAATGTTTTTTTCCCACTGGGCTAGTATAATTGGGTCTGATGCCTCATTGTGTTTTTGAAAGGAATTTTGAGCTCTAAAGAATCTGACAAAATTCTGATATTCTTAACATTTAAGAATACGATTTTATCACGATATGACCTTTTTACTTTTTTGTATGTGTCCGAATTTGAGGCAGAATAATTTAAAATTCATCTGGGCCTTCAAAGCTCCAATTGGAGAATTAATCTACATTAATGTAAATGGACATATAAATATGCAAATTCATTTGTGTGTAATATAGTGTTATTTTTATAAAGGAAACTAATCACCCACATATATTGTTGTCACTTTTTACATACTTGTATTTACTTGTGAGAGAAAGAGAGAGAGCGAGCAAGCGAGTCAACTTGGCGGAACTCGATCAAGATCAGCGGTCGACCTTGATTGAGTACACCGATTATTCTCAAGCGGATTGTTAGATTTGAGGTCCTCCGAAGCTCCCGATGCGGCCGACATCGTCGACGTTCGTTGTCCACTTGTTCACCTGCACTTCTGGCGAACGTCGACGTCGCGGGTTTGTGACGCGCGTTTCGCTGACTTTGTTTTTGCGCCCATCTGACTGAGCAACGCGAGAAGTTTTGATTAAGCAATAAAGATAGGAAAAAAAGAAATAAGAAAGAAAAGGAAACCTGATATCGAGACATTCCTTCTTCTAGATTAATGTTTCATAGAGGAAGAACGCGCGTCGCGTTGCTTCGGACGGCTTTGCTTCTCCACCTGTTCCGTAAAAGGAGAATCAAGTTTTTCCCCTTTCTTTTCTTTCATGAATCGAATTCACTTTTTTATTTTATCGGCTGCTTAGAGGCTTCGGAAGATCGAACGGGATCGTAGACGCATCCCGTGTACGCGTTTTTTTCTTTCCTTTCCGTCTATCTTCCTTTTCTTGTTTTTTTTGTTTTTTTTTGTTTATTTTAAATCGAACAGTCGTGAGAAACGCGCAAAAATTTCTATGAAGAACGACGGTAATCGAAAATGTTTAAATGTTTAAATAAACGATTTTATTAGAGAGAAAGAAAGGTAATTGTGTACACGACGAAACCCAAAAAGTATTTGGTTAGTATGGCTGTGTTTTTAGGGCAGTGTTGTAAATCTGAAAGTGACGTACACACCCTCGCAGTAGCGGCATATTTGACAAAGTACGGACATACGAACGCCGCGCGTGCCAACTCTCGCATCCAATTGATTGTCCGAGAGACAAAAGGAAGAATCTTGTATGTACCGAACGTCCAGCAAGAGAAAGAGAGCAAAAAGGAGAGAGAAAGAAAGAGAGAAAAAAAAAGAAACATGATTGAGTAGAATCCCTTTAGAGTTTCTTTTCAAAGATGACGTTCGTGGCCACCGAAAATTGAGTCCTTTGGTGAAACGATCAGCAATCAACGATACTTGTATCCAGCTGGTATTGTTCTCTCTTTCTTTTCTCAACTGATTGCATTAATGTCGGGGACTTACACGAAAAGAAAAGAAAAAGGGGGAGAACGAGAGGGAGAGAGCGATGCCACAGATAGGGATTCGTTGGTGCACGAGGCATTCGTAACGAAATTTATTATTGTAAGCGAGAGAGGGAGAGAGAGTGAGCGAACGAGCGAACGAACGAGAAAAAGAAGTGAATGCAACACTATATATATATATATATGTATATATATATATATGTATGTATATATATATATA